CAATCCTAGTGAAGGTAACCAAGGGTCAGGTAAGTGTCCCTTGCTGGGCATGTCCATGGTCATATCGGAAAGTCAGTCCATTGTTTGGGATCTAGATCAAAGGAATCTGACCAGTCAGGGCCACAGTTGTGACTAAGATGGAAAGTGGCACTACTGCAGTTTAGCTGAGGCACAGACTAAAGGCTCAGGGCTGAGCTAAAATGGGACTGTGGGTCATAAGCTGGGAGTGAGGACAGAGGCTGCAGATGAGGCTGGGCATGGCCATTAAGGCTTGCTTTAAGGCCCTGATATTGCCTGAAAAGGAGAGACATCATTGCCATGTGCCTATATATCTGTCAGTCCCAGAATCAAAATAGGACAGGTAGCAGTGCTCCCAAGATGATAAGCTTTATCAGTTCAGGAATTCCCTCATCAGTTCATTAGATGAGAACGATATTATGCACTTGGGGTTGACCAGAATCCTTTTGCAGAAGAAAGCTGGGTCTGCCAGAGGCTGTATTTTTCGTAGGGGCTGTTCTTTTAAGTTCACAGGTGTTAGAGATAGATTTTTCTGTTTGGATCTGAAAATTTCTGGCCCAGCGTGGAATCAAATGAACTTTCTCTTCCTTGTTACGGGCAGGAAAGTCCTTACCTCTGCACACTTGAATAAAAGCTAGGGTAAAACACGTTAGATAAACTTGCAGTGGAAGTGCATGCAGGTCTGTCATGGCCTTGATGTGATCTGCTTTGTCTTTTGTTGTTAAGGATATTCTAAGCAGTGTAAGTGCCTGCCAAATCATTTTATTGAGTGCAACAGTTAGGACCATCCTTATGTTGTACATACGCTGTCATCTTTGTAATTGGTGCATGGGAGTAGTGAGGCTTAGGCTATATAGAGATACTGCTACACTAAAAACACGTCATCTAAGAATGCGGACACTTAAGTATATGCAGTGTAAATGTGCGTAGAGACTTCCTGATTGGTTCTGTAGCTTTCTGCTTAAGCTGGTTTATCCTCAATTTTTTTCCGTGCTTCTATTACATAGCTTCTCCCATACTATCCTGCTGTAGACATTCCAACCTTGGTAACCAAGGTACCAAAAATTGGTAACTTGTTTTGTAGGAAGAAGCTGAGGAGCATGGGTCACACAAAGAAGTTTTTGCTCCTTTTTTCCTCCTCCTCCTCCTGTCTGATTCTAAGCATCTCTCCCGTTTTCAGCAGCAGAGAAAGGAAAAAAGTGAGGGTTTTTATCTTCACTTCCAGGCCATCAGTTGAAATAGTGATTTTTGACTAAGGGACAAAAGCCTGTATAATCTACAGTGGTCTGCAGACGTCTGGGACCACTGCATGTTTTTTTGATGTGTTTCTTTGAAAAAGAGAGCATCTCTTAGTAGGGTCCTTCTGATTATCATAGTTGGGAAAAATGGAGTCATGAGGTATTCGAGAAGAATCAAGGCACTCGGAAAACCAAAAGAATTTGGCTCCAATGGTGAAAGATGAGAGAAGTGCTTTGGGAGAAATGGTCAAGAGAGCTAAAGCAATTTTCCCTTTTGCAAGAGGAGATTTCTTCAGTGACAGATGAGACATAGGGGTGGCCTGTGTTGTCATTTATTTATTTATTTAATTACTGAAGATTTCCAAAAGCAATTATGTACTTCCGGTAATACTAATTTGTCTGTTACTGTTATCTATAGCATGTCTGTTTGATTAACTGATCCATTACAAGTCAGCAATTCAGATTTTATATGTAGTTTCTTCTGTGGATAGTACTAAAATCTTGTATACATCAATCTTTTCACCCGAGAAGGCCTGCTGCACTTGACAGAAAAAACAAAATCAAATATTTGTTATATTAAGAGAATGAAGTAGTTCACAGCAAAAGGAAAGATAGCCCTTTTTGTTCAATTGTCATATCTTTAATGTTTCTCTCCTTTCTCTAGTTGTCATTTGCTACTGTCTTTCTTTCTATCAGTTCACTTTTAAAAACAGGTTTTTAGAGTTAGATGGGACACACTCTGAAACCTCTCATTGTCTGTCTTCTTTCACCTTCATGGATATAATTCCGGATTAAATGCAAATAATAATGCAAATAGTAATACTGGTGCAGAGCAATTACTTTAAATGTTCCGTTCACTAGAACAACTCCTTAAACTACTCTAATGCTGCAAATGTAGTGCTTTACAGTGGGCCAAGTTTTAAAGCAGTAATGTATTAGATATATAGATATATATGGATTAATTTTAATAAAATGATGAAGTGGCACATTGTCCTGCTTGTTGTCCTGGAGTCTTTCAAAATAAGTTTTAGAGTTTATTGGTCCTGTGCTGATCTCCTGTGCAGAGATGCATTACACTTACCCTGATAGAAACTAATTGAGCTTCTGTGCCAGTTGCCAGAGCCTGGGGGGTGTGTGTCAGAGGAAGAAACACTCTTCACATCTCCTTTCCTTATACTCCTGCGTTTATCTGTTACCTGCTGCCAAGCACTGGTTGGAAGATGGTGATTAGTGAACCTGTGCAAGTGCCTTCCCCCAGTATTTGCATTGCTATGTACAGTAACTATTTGTTGTTTTCTTTTTTGGATTCCTGATATTGGAGAGGTGGTTTGTATTATGTTTTTGGCTGTAATCTCTTTGGATCATATGGAGAATGGGCACAGAAAGATACTGATAGAAAATGTTATTAATGTTTGTTTTCCTAGACAGATTGTGGTTTCAATGAATTTGTTCTATTAAAATAAATGCTAAGTCTATTATATACATACCTATCTTATGCTGTATATAATCAGATATATCTAATACAGATTATCCGACATATATCTGATAATGATATGTATCTGATTATATGCAGCATAATACCAGATATACCTGATTCTATATATAATATATAATATGATCTATAGAAATATGTAGAGAATTAAAAATATATATATATATATATAGAATATATACAATATATTGTAACACGGGGTCTTCGGTTACTGTAAACCAAAGTAGAGAAACAAAATAATAGACAATACTTTTTAGTTTATGTATGTGATACCTATGCATAGTATGCATGTATTTGAGTAGATTTTTGCGTTTGAGATGACAATCCTGATACAATCAGAAATAAAAGTGCAAAGCTTAGAATTTAAGTAGCTGTTTGATGAATGTTTTTAATGAAACCAGAGAATTATTGTTACTTTCTAAAGAGAATTGTTATTGTGATTTTGAAATCCACTTCTGGAAGATTTTGGAGGGATATAAAATATACCATTTCGTCTTTTTTCTGCCTAACACAAAGATCTAACCTGACAGTAATGTTTAAGAAAGTTTCTAATAATTGCTTGTCAGTATGTATTTGCAGTCCAAATTTCTGTATATTGTGTTCATACCTTCATTGTCTTCATTCTGTTGTTTTCATGGCACTGAGAAATACTCAGCAAGTGGAGGAAACCTTAAAGCAAACTTTCAAAATCACTAGATTATCTAACAGCTCTTTTTTTTAGATGTATCTGTGATTTTGTAGAAAACACTGGCCTATGGGCTAATAATGTAGTTACAAAATATTTTCTTTTTTCTTCCCTTGACACAATATCCAGATTTTTTTTTCTCTTTCAACAATCACCCCTCCATATCTTTCTTACTCAAAAAATACAGAGTATTTTAATGAAATCTCTTTGTCTCCCATATTAACCTTTGACTTAATGCTACCCAATGTCTTCTAATACTTCCTACTTGTATTCATGTTGCCAATTTTCCTCTCTCTTTATGGAGAATATTTTATGTTTTTTTTGAGTCTGAATTCAGGAGCACAGAGCAATGGCAGTAAACCATCAATTAAACTCTTATTTTTCCCTCTTGTTTTAACAACTAGAACACACATTTTTAATACTTCAGTTTTTAAGATTTTAAGAGATTATATAGCTCCTCTTTACTATTAATCTAAAAGTGCTGTTAATCTAAATCATGCCTTTCTGAGCATGATGGTTCATGTTTCCTAAATAGAGACTCAATAATAGAACCGATAATGCAATGTGATTTCTAGGCTCCAGATACCTGGAGATGCTACTGATTTGAACAAGACCGGTATATTTTACATTACATCATCATGCTGTGACAGTTTATTTATGCAGTTAGTTTTAAAAAACAAAAACACTTTTTTGGTGTTTATTTGACAAAGGCTTCCAGTTTACATGGATTTTAATAGAATCTAGAATCTAACCTAAAGCCAGTTGCAAGTTTAGCAAGTAATGAAATAATTTACATTAGTCACTCTTGCCATTGAAGTTCCACAGGTTTTGTTAGAAGGTAGCTGGTGTGTTACAGACTGACAAACTTTGTATTCACAACTCCACTTTGTCAGTGCATTAGTACGATGACCTCAGGGCTAAAAGACTTCTATTTTTAACACTCAGGATTACTATCTAATATTATCTTTATAGGAGACAATAGTTCTCATGCCATGAGTTGTGCACAATTAAGGTACTGATGCACAATTTAATATTAAAGGTATTAAACAAGTTTAATAGCTATATACTCTTGAGAACTTCTATAATTATTTTATACTGTGTGCTGTTAGGACTGCATGCTGGTGAATATAACCAATGTGACTGTAAATACCTGTCTTTTAGGCACATCAGTCTAAGATCTAAGGGAGATAAGTTTATAGAAGAGAATATCTTTTATTAGCTTGGATGAGGGAGGAGGCAAGGCTTTTGAGTACAGAAGGTGATCATATAGAAACTTAAATCTTAGGGAATGTAGCATGCCCACTTCATGCTCTCTCTTTTTTTTTTTTCGTATTAGTGGCTCAGATTGTCTATAAAGCTTTCAGGTTTTGAAATAGTTTCAAGTCAAGAAAAAAAAACCAGTAGCTAGTAATAGAATAGCTGAAATGATGCATTATGATTTTTAGATTCCAAACACGCATAGATGTGACTGATTTCTTGTTATTTTATGAGATACATTTTAAATATATTATTTCAAATATATTAATATAAAAGTAAGAGATTGATTATTTTTCTTAATGCACCACAGAGATACCAATGTGCTTGCCTGCCTGGATGGGAAGGAACATTCTGTGAATATGAATCAAATGAATGTATTTCAGAGCCTTGTAAAAATAATGGCACCTGCACAGATCTTTTCAACAGCTATCGGTAAGAGTTTCATCTTCTCACTGTGTGATTATGTTCCAGGAATGACAGACTTATGCGTCTGGTTATTATTGGTGAATGCTGTGTTACTGCAGAAAGAGGAGCAAACAACCTCTGCTGTGGATGTACGTTTATTTGAAGACAGCAACCATAACGAAGTGTAGATGGAAAATTAAACACATCCATTCAAAGAACTTAGCAAATGATCTAATTTAGAACTGTATTTTATCAAAGAAATTAGGGGTTTTCTTTCTGTTATATATGTCCTGTAAGCACAGGTGATGCTTTAGGAATAAAAGTTGTGTAGATTTAGATTAAGAGATTGTGTCGTTGCTGCCACCTTGTGGTTTAGAATGAAGACAAAATAGTAATTTGTATAAAATTTACAACTACACTGGGAGAAAGCCTGAGGATTTGACACTATTTGCAGCCATACTGTGAGAGAGCCTGAAGATTTGACACTAACTATATTACTTCCAACTTAAAACACCAATCTTTTTTCCATTCATACATGTAAGATTAAAAAGTGATTTTGTTTAGCATTATAAGGATAAGGACTACTTAAAAATCTTGAAATCAGTTTTTGTCGTTTGTAATTACAGCCAGTGTTCACCTCTATTATTATGTTAGTATTAGGCCCGTCATTTTTAATGTGAATGTAGACTTTAATAGATACTGATATAGAGGCTTAAAACCACACAATGTAAGCAGTTTAGTGTACTCAGTCTAGTTGTTGCCCACTGAGTACATTTCTGATAATGCAATCATGAAACAGAAAGCAAACCTACCACAGTTGAAAATAGACAGGTAGTTCCTGGTACCAAAGATAAATCTAACTAAGTCCAGTGCTATTACTTCTATGCTCATTTGACACAGTTTATGATTAGACCGGGTATAATTATGTGTTTGAATGAAGATGATTCTGAGGAGGAAAAAAGATACTTTGGGCTAAACATTTTTTTTGTATTGTGACATGACACTAAACTTGCTGTTTTTTGTTGCTTTTCAAATGTTTTATTTTAAAAATAATAAAATCAATTTAGGAAGCAGAAGATTTTGATTATAGTGAATGTTTATCATTTTTTCATACTAATTTATTTTCAGGATTTAACGTAAATACTTTCCCTCATGCTAGAGCTGCATTTTTACATAATATTTGAGGTACTGTTTTGGCATATGATTATGGCTCTTAATCCAATCATAGAAAAATAAAACTTTAGAGAAGTTCGGAAAAAAGTTAAAATATTTGTAATTGATTTTTTCACTTTCTTATATGTACTGGAAGATGAAACTTTTTTTTAAGACTGTTTCTATTAGTTTTTGTAGCTTGTGTTTTCATAACTTGTATTTTTATGTTCTTTGTAGACTAGTAACAAGTCTGTAATTGCATAGTCTGTATATCTCATTAGCTGATACCTGATAGCAGCTTACATTCTTATGTATGATGGTGGATTATATAGACAAACATGGAGTTGCACCATTCTCAAGAAAAATTGTGGATCATAGAATCATAGATTCGTTAAGATTGGAAGGGACCTTCCGTGTTGAATTTCATGAGGTTTTTCACCGCCCAGTTGTCCAGCCTGTCCAGGTCCCTCTGGGTGGCAGCGCAGCCCTCTGGGGTATCAGCTGTTTCTCCCAGTTTGGTATCATCAGCAAACTTGCCGAGGGCTAAATTGAACAGGACTAGGCCAAGGACTGACCCCGATGGACACTGCTAGCTACAGGCCTCCAACTAGACTCTGCACTGCTGATTACCATCCTTTCGGCTCTGCCATACAGTTGTTAATCCACCTCAGCATCTACTCTCTAACCCAAAGCTCTGGAGCTTGCCCAAGAGGATGCTGTGAGGGACGGTGTCAAAAGCTTTCGTGAAATCCAGATATATAACATCCACCGCTCTCCCCTCATCTCCCCAGCCAGTCATTCCATCATAGAAGGCTATCAGGTTAGTCAAGCATGATTTCCCCTTGGTGAACCCAAGCTGACTACTCCTGAGCGCCTTCTTATCCTCCACATGTTTGGAGACAACAGCCAGGAAGAGCTGCTCCATGGCTTTTCCAGGAATGAGGCTCATTGGCCTATAGTTTCCTGGATCCTTCTTGCCGTATTTGAAGACTGGCCTGACATTGGCTTTCTTCCAGTCCTCTGGCACCTCCCCTGTTCTCCAGGACCTTTTGAAGATGATGAAGAGCAGCTTAGCAATAACATCTGCCAGCTCATGCAGCACTCTTAGCTGCATCCCATCAGGGCTCATGGATTTGTGGATGTCAAGTTTCCCTAAGTGCTCTCTTACCCAATCTTCTTCTACCCAGGGCAAGTCTTCCTCTCTCCAGGCACCTTCTCTGGTTTCTAGGATGTGGGATTTCAGAGGTCTTCTCTTGGTAAACACTGAAGCAAAGAAGGCATTCACTAGCTCTGCTTTTTCTGTGCCTTTCGTAACCAGGGCACCCACAGCATTCACCAGCAGGCCCACGTTTTGTCTAATCTTCCTCTTAGCATTGATATATTTGAAAGAGCTCTTGTTATTTTTAACATCTCTTGCCAAATTTAATTCCAATTGTGCCTTAACTTTCCTTGTTATATTCTTGCATTCCCTGGCAACATTCCTGTATTCCGCCCAAGGACCCTCTCCCTTTTTTCCACTTTCTTTATAATGCCTTTTTCTGTTTGAGTTTTGCCAGCAGCTCCTTCCTTATCCATGGAGGCCAGGATGCTTGAATATCCTGCACTGATGTATAAGGCTATCAAATGACATCTTAACTATTCTTTCCAGATAGCTTCTGCAACCATTAGGTGTATTGCAGAAGGTAGCATGGCTTCTTCAGGTTTTCCTCATAGGCAATTACAGGAGAATGAAGTACAGGACTCCCTGTTGTACAAAAAAAAATTAGAAGTTTATTTTCTGGATTGAGCAAACACCGAACAGTTACAGAAGTTTTTGAAGGAGAATTGCTTTGAACTGTAAGCAGCAAAGACATGTTTTCTCAGAACTGTTTGTTCTATTTGACATAGCAGAACAAAAAAAAATTAGGCATATTGTTGAATCATAGTATGCAAGGGTCATGATAAGTGAAACGGAAACAGCTCTTTCAGAGACGGCAGTTGTTAAATCTGGGAATCTGAGGATTAGCAGCCACAATGAAAATGAGCCTGGACCAGTTTTGTTGTATAATCTAATGCAATTTCATTTCAGTCATTAGAGTTGTCCTAGTTTACAGTCAAAGATGTTAAAAGACATTCTGCTTATTTTTACTAACATCAGAAACTTTTCCCCCATTGTCTTTTTAGCACTTTTTTTTTTTTTTCTTAAAAACAACATCAATGAAATAAACCAAAAAGTGTGGTCTTGGAGTACCTAGCCAGTGCCAATGTGTAATATCTGACCCTGAGGCCACTTAGCCGTATCTACAAAGTTAAAATTACCTTCTGAGACAGTCTAACTCTATCTTAAATGCCTAATAGGAAAGATCTTTGGCTCCCGTTAACTTGAATTGTGCCTATGAGATGTTCTGGATGAGCACTAGGAATTGTTCTGAGAACGTGTCATGGGTAGATAATGCAGTTGCTTGACCTGTGCCTGTTTTCTTTCAGTGTTTTTTTTTTTTCCTGGTGAAAGCATAGCTGCTGGCAGTGACTGTGTAGAATTGTCTAAATTTGGGTGCAGGTGGGCACCCCGCTGTTAGTGCTCATCACCCCTTACTGGCTAGGAAATGCTTGGCCAGCCCTCTCTGGAAATTAATGGAATGGATGGATGACATAGCTTTCTTTGATACCCTCGATAATACTTGTTTATGTCATCAAAGTATTTTCAAATCCATCTGAAAAGCACAGTTCCTGAAAACCTAAAGTATTCTTTATGCAACAGCACATAAAATGTATCATTATAGAGAAAAAAAAAGAATAAATAGAATGCAAATTAGTACGCAAAATAAAACTCTTCCAGGATTCAAATCTGATAATGAGAAGAATAAGTAAAACCGTTATTGTTAGTTAGAAATTCCACCAGTAAGTTCCTCATGTACTATTTATTTTTTGAACCTTGCTGTCGAAACTAGAGGATCAACAAGTACCCTAGGACTGATAGCTTTTCTTTGTGGATTCCTGGTTCATTCCAGCTTATTCTTGTTCAGCTTACTCTTGTTCTCTTTCTCCCTGTTGCCTTTTCAGTTTGGCACATGATACTGCAAAGAAATGAATTTAGAATCATTTCATGCATTTGCTTCCAATGCACTGTGTTCCTGACTAATTCTCACTGCAGCATAAACACTCAAATTATGTCTCTGAACATTTATATACAGATACATCTGTTGTCAGCTACATTCCCTGCTTGTGCTGTATCCTTTTGTGCTCGCTCTTTTGTGATATTTCTGAGATTCTACCTTAATAACATCAAACCCTAATTAAAGCCTTTGGGTCTCCTTTGCTATTACCAGCTTCCAGAGAAACTTTAAAGTGAAAATCTCTTCAGCTCTTCTCACAAAATAATAATGGTGTTTTCTAGGTGAACTTGTATTTCTAATGAGGTTCAGTTGTTTCAGATCTGACTTTAATCTGTATGACAGGAAAATTTGGAAAGCTACACAGGTGTCTTTCATGGGGCTCACTTCCTTCTGCATATCCAGAGAACTTGCACTTTAAAATCCGGCTAAAATACTGAGTTATGTTTTGTAATGTATTTATTTCCAACACACTATGTCCCTCTAATTCTCATTACATTTTACCACATTTCATTTCACAGCACCTTATTCTCCATACATGAGTTATTTCTGGACTCATTTAGCTTATCTTGTGCTATCCTTCTTTAGCACTACTTCTTTGGTTTGGTATCCATGCCACAGTCATCTTGTTCCTCTTTACTCATATACACTGAGAATTTGGGTAACCGTATTGAGACCAAAGTTAGTCTTAATCTGTTTGCTTCATGTTACTCATTCAATTCATTCTCAGATATAATATCTCACTGTTTAACTCCCTCCCTTGGGATTTGAAAACAAGTCTTT